GATTTTATTCATAAAACAGAATTATGAGGCTTTTGTATTTACTGCCCATCATGTCCCAGCCACTGGACTAGGACACCCTACATATGTTTCTCCATCTCAGAAACCTGTCTGAGGCACTGTTTTTTTTCCAGTTTTTAGGGGAGAAAATCAAGACATAAAAAGACTGGTAAGATGAAAATTGAAAGGAATGTCAATCCCATAAGAGACTCTTGACTCTAGGAAACAAACTGAGGGTTGCTGGAGGGGAGAGGGTAGGGAGATGGGGTAACTGGGTGACAGGCATTAAGGAGGGCACGTGATGTGGTGAGCACTGGGTGTTATACACAATTGATAAATCACTAATTCTACCTCTGAAACTAAAAAAAAAGACCGAGTAATAGGCTATGTAGTCAGGGCTCTGCTGATGTTTGAATTCTGGTCTGTGGTTTAGTTTGAAACTCTGTTCCAAGTAAGAAGATAAAACAGTGAAGATTACGAGTCTCACTTTGGAAGGAAATGACACCGCAGCTCCAGGTGGTGCTGTCCCCAAGGCAGGTGAAGCTGAGATAGGAGTCCAGGAAAAGACCCAGTCCGCATTCAGGGAGGAAATTTTGTGAGGCTGAAGGCTGAAGTTACAAGAGGGGAAAACACCGTCCTGGGATCATAAATGGTCAGAGATGAGAGGTAAGGACTCAGAACAGGGCCTGAGTGAATGGACAGATTCAAGAGGGGGAAAAGGAAGAGATGCCAGCAAAGATGAGGGAGTAATCAAAAAGCATAGGGAGAAAAAGCAAAGTGCAGAGACTCCCACACCAAGGAAAGAAAGATCTCCAAAACAATGCCAGAGAGTGCCAGTGGCAACACGAACTGAGGAAAAGCCATTTGACCTGGTGGTGGAAGTTAGCAGTCACTGCTGAGAGCCCAGTACAAGGGGTCAAAGCCAAGATCAAGGTCAAACTGTAAAGTTGATGGTAGAGAGCAAAGAGGTGGTTGAGAGGTCGTGGTCATCAATCTGTTCCACAGGGCAGACAAGTTCACAGGAATTTGTACCAAAGGAGATGCTTACAGGAAAACAGAAGGGTTGAAATCCCAGGGGAAGACATCAGCTTACACCCAGAGGGACTTTTCCACACTTTTTCACTGGCTTTTCCACAACAATTCCCTGTTAGGACGAAGAGATGCATTCCAGTGTTAGACATATAGAGATGTCTGCAGGATTCATTTAGGATCCTTTCAGGCCTGAGGGACAGGGTAGTGGCATGGAGACATTATTATGGACATGAGAGAACTAATGGATCCAGCCTCATGTCTCACAACACTTCCTCTGATAGGGAGGCAGAACCTCCACACCCAGAGCGTGTGGGTCATGTCTGGTGACAGCACACCACAAGGCTGGTGGACTGGAGATGCACAGACACATGGCGGTAAGCGTCTCCAGGCTGGTGTGTCAATCATTTCTAGCCAGAAGGTAGCCATGTCGACTGAGGCAATCAGCAGGTGCACAGAGTCTGTTAAGTGTTGGGCACACACCGGCTGTCCACAAAGCTACCTAGGGCCATATGTAGGGAGAACATACAAGCTGGGGCAAAGCTTTCCCTCATGTTACTCCCAAAACAAAACAGCATGAAATATTTTTAAAGGTTCTGGCTAAAGGTCATTTCAAGACTCATGGGACTAAAAAACTATAAAAAATTATCTGACACTCAAATAGAATTATAAAATTAAAAAGACTGAATTCCCAAGCATATGAAGCAAGGTTGATATTCCAAGACTGAGTTTGATATGGAAAAGCACAAACATGCTCTCCTTCCAAAGAGCAGCAGGCATGAAGTGACCAATGAAACCTTGGAAACAGTTTGCTTGCTTGGAAATAGTCAGGAGCCAGTTGATGCAGCCACCCTCACTAGAGTCCGTTTCCATCTACTGTTCTCCCAGGGATACAGTAGAGGAATAATTTCCACAAAACTACATCCAAGCGAGGTTATCAGGAAAGAAGCAGCTCCCAGCGAAAAAACATTCAAAGGTGAAAAACAGTAAAATCCTATCATGTCTTGAGCTTCTTGGAAATGTGCCATGTTCAGGCATTGCTAGGATTTTGGTGGGATTTAATCCCTAGCTTTCTGGTATAGTTTTTTATGTTTTCTTTTCCACTCTCCAACATATCATATGCCAGCACTAACCAGGGAGTTACATCTGTTCTGCTCTGAATATTTGCCTATTAATTTCGAGATTCAGGACCATGTAAATCTTTGAGGCTGACTGCCCAACCAAAACTTAATTTAAAATTCTTTGTTATTTCGAGAAGAAATTTAACAACAAGCAATTTTAGTGACCAGTTTGCAATCCACGCCAGCATCCTGAAGTTGTCATGGAACACTTATGGCTTATAGGTCAAGAACTCTGCATTCAAACCAGGAGCAGAAGAGTTAGTCCAAGCTGTATGTACCCTCCCTGACCATGTCCCCCTATCCCTGCAGGGGTGTGACCGCAGACCTTCTCTCCAGTCTCTCCATCTGGAAAATCAGGGTGCTGGGCTAGACCCATGGTTTCTGAGCTTCATCGCAGTGAATCATCACTGTTGCATAAAAGTCGAAGACTTCTCTGGAGGAGAGAAAACAGGGGACCAAGTGGGAGGGAGGGAAGGAGGGAAGTGAGGCTCTCAGGCCCTGTTTCCCACTTCCATCAGGACACTTCTGCTTTCATCTGCTTTACAAGTTGGATTTCCAGAGGGATTTTGTCTAAAGGGTATAATAGTTTATAAAAGTTGGAAAATTTATAGACCATAGGATATGTAAACTTTTGCCACATTGAACATTTTAAGAGACTTCCCAGGTGATGCCTCTGTAATTCCTTGCCCAGCCCCAGCTGGTCACATGTTCTGAGTTAACCCAGTGACCATGATTCCCACTCCCCAGTGGAGTGGGATGCATCCTCTTCACACTGACCAGATTCCCCAAGAGTCAGGGTGTGTCTGTCGTCCCTTGACTTTATCTCAGAGCCTCTTTCAGGATTCCCCTTGCCTGCATTAAAGTCAGTTCAGTGGCTGCTGTTCTGTGGTCCTGGCCCCATCTTCCATCTGATGCCCTGCAAAGGAGAGAGTTTCAACTTCATGAGAATTTCTTGTAATTCCTCCTACTGCTTGAACTCACGAAGTACTCCACTTAGATGAGGAAATTGTGGTTAGATAATTAGGGAGGAAATGAGCTCTTTCACATCAATCCAAAATACACTGAAGCAATATTTATGCACAAGATGTTGTTCTTTGTATGGCAAGGGAAACAGAAGTTGGTGAGGTGAGAAAGTCCCGAGAAAGCTGGCCTGACAGGTGGGAGAGGCTGAACCTCCTGTTAGGTGCTGAAGGGGGAAAATGTAGGCAAGTGGCTCTCCGCGTCCTGTCTCATTAACACTTTTCAGGAAGGAAAGTGGATAGAGGAAGCGACAGATTAACATCATCTTTTCTCACCAAGGGTAGAAAGGACACCCCCACAATATACTTTAATATAGAACACGGATGCATAATGTACAATTTTCATTACATGGCCTCATATTTATTTTAACATGCATACAAAAAAACTATGATTTTACAGACAGGATAGCCTGCTATGAGGCAAAACTTGTAAATTTCAAGAAAAATACAAAGATAATACTAGAAGGTGGCAATGGATTAGGCAAAAATGATGATGGAGGTAGGAGGATTAACGAAGGTCAGGAAATACAGACTTCGACAAGTTCTACAGTCTCTTCTCCCCCAGAACCTTCTGGAAAAACTAATATGAGCAGCTTTATATGGACTTCTGTTAAAGCCATCTTAAGATGACTCATACGATGTCTGTTTACTAATTAACCCCTCCTATAGAAATTGCTGAGCAGAAGTTGCTAAATAAGATCATTCGAATGGATGAATGCATAAATACATGAACAAATAAATCATTGCTGCCTAGCCTCAATGGGCAAAGATGTGCCCATATCAAAGGGAGCGAGGCTGATTAAAAATAAGACAACAGGGAATCCCTGGGTGGCTCAGCGGTTTAGCACCTGCCTTTGGCCCAGGGCGCGATCCTGGAGTCCTGGGATCGAGTCCCACGTTGGGCTCCCAGCGTGGAGCCTGCTTCTCCCTCCTCCTGTGTCTCTGCCTCTCTCTCTCTCTCTCTATGTCTATCATAAATAAATAAATAAATAAATAAATAAATAAATAAATAAATAAATCTTTAAAAAAAAATAAGACAACAGACTCCCAGTAAGACAATAAGACTTAAGTCTTATTGACAACAGACTCCCAGTAAGACAATAAGACTAAGTCTTCCTTGCCTCATCTGGTACATTTTGACAGGTTTCAGAGAAGGATCCTCTTTGCCCCATGATGCCAATGGGCAGTGTCTATACAGGGTAAGTTATCTCACACCCCACCACTGGGTGGGGGGTTCTCAGCCAAGGTTCTCAACTCTGGGCCTGAGGAAAGATTAAGAGAAACCATGGGAGCCTGGAAATAGTTTCCCAGGCGATGTAGCAAAGGCTGAAGAGAACTCCCCTTGAAGCCAGGAGAACCACCCCATGGTAAGCGCCTGCAGGGCTGTAGGCTTGCAGTAGGGTGCTTGCTGGACGAGCGCACAGCACACCTACCAGCTCAGCAGCTCTGCCCTCTGCCCTGATTGGGAGCAGGGCGTGTGCACTCTGGAGCACTTCATAGCCAGCAGATTCAAGGAGCAAAGCCCTACTTTTCAAAATGCTCAGGGAGTACTCTAGTCCCCTTTTCAAAGAGGTTAGAATTGAAGAAAACAACTGTCTTGTGCCTCCTTCACACACGTCCTGTTTGATATTAATCATAGTATTGCGACACCAAGTGAATCCAAATAATCTGCATGGCGTCACCATTTCTGATAATTGCTCCAGCTATTCATCGCTAATCAAAGAGGATGTTATGAAACGTGAGTCAGCCAGCCTCCGGCTTTCTGGAAGTATGGGTCTGTATATAAAACGGGAGCTTCCTCGCTGAGACACTGGACAGGCAGGCAGGTGGGAGCATCAGAGACCTTTAACTGAGAAGGACAACGAAGCTCAGCATGCTGAGCCTTCCTCTGCTGCTGCTGCTGCTGCTCTGGGGCGTGGGGTCCCACGGCTTCCCAGCAGTGACTTCAGAGACACAGGAGCAAGATGTGGAGATGGTCCAGGTAAATGCTGAATTTCACACGCCACAAATGCAAGAGCCTTTACTTGCATTTTTGCAGAGTATTATGGAGTAGCAATGGTACCCTAAAGAGATTTATGTAAGGGTGGATTTCTTACAAAGAGAAATTTTTGGTAGAAAGAGCTCTCTCCCCCAAACTGTATCCAGCTACGCACAGCTTCATCTTTTCACCTTCCCACGTGGAGGTGAGTGGGAACTAACTACCATATGCCAATGTGACTCTACAAATTGTGATTCTGACTGCATACTGACTAGTCTAGGGAGATTTCTACCCTGAAATTATTTTCCACCAATAATAATTTCCACCATGACATCTAAACATGGTCTTTAAAAGTAGTTCTCCACTTCAGCTAAAATTTCTTACTGTCAATCTTCAGAAAACAGAAAGATGTCCCACCCAATGTTTCAATAATTTTATGTTTCATCAGAACTACTTGGAAAAGTATTACTATCTGAAGAGTGATGGGAAGCCAGTTGTGAGGCAGAGGAACAACAGCTTAGTGGCTGAGAAGCTGAAGCAAATGCAGGCGTTCTTTGGGCTGAAGGTGACTGGAAAGGTCGACACGGACACCCTGAATCTGATGAAGCAGCCCAGATGTGGGGTGCCCGATGTGGCTCAGTACGTCCTCACTGATGGGAGCCAATGGGACCACACACATCTGACCTACAGGTAAGCAGACTGAGCAGCAGACGGAGATGCTATTTCCCATCAGAGCCGTGAGCCATGAGGTCCCATGTGTCTCTGTGTTCTTTGATTTTTAAGGATTGAAAATTACACACCAGATTTGCCGAGAGCAGAGGTAGACAGTGCCATTGAGAAAGCCTTTCAGCTCTGGAGTAACGCCTCTCCCCTGACCTTCACCAAGGTCTATGAGGGTCAAGCAGACATAATGATTTCCTTTGTCTGGGGAGGTAAGCTCTTCTTATACCATAGAAGTATTTTCACCTTAACTTCTCCTTGCTCCTCAATCCCTTCATCTTTGCAGCTGGAAGAATTTAAGAGGCTATTTGATTTTATGGGCTAAAAGAAGGAAACTATATCACATTTGATTGAAGTCTGTTGGCCTCTCAGCAAACCTAATGCTTTTCTTTCCTGGATTAGCCTAAATTGGAACTAAGAGGGACATTTGTTGAATTCTGTTTCTGGCAGATCACCGTGACAATTCTCCCTTTGATGGACCCAATGGAAACCTCGCTCATGCTTTTCCACCAGGCCCAAATATAGGAGGGGATATTCATTTTGATGAAGATGAAACATGGACCAACAATTTCAGAAGTGAGTCCACTCATCTTATCTCTCTTGATTCCCCTACTCCTACTTGCTTCATTGTACTATTGGTTGACTTAACTGAAAGAATACATTTGTAGAAGTATGTATTTTTCTACTACCACTTATAAAATTAATGATGCATTTGGAAAAGTGGAAGAGAAGAGTATTTCTGTTAGTAATAGCATCTCTTTGGTTGCAATTAGGCTACTCTAAAATTTGTATTAAGATTTTATTAAATCTTATTAAGTTTTATTAAAATAAAAATTTTATTGAGAACTTTGATGCTATCACTACAATTCAGGGAGAAGTGATGTTCTTTAAAGACAGGTAGGACATTAGTTCCTCTTTGTCTTTTGTGTCTGTAATAATAACAGCCGTCACAACTGTGGGTGCCTATGGGCCACTACTGTGCACACACATTATTTATCTTACCCTTGTTTGCATACATAATTATAAATATAATTAAAAGGAAGCAATTACGTGCATTTGCACAACATATTTTCAAAATATTGAAAATCTTAATGTTTTGCTTATGGGCATCTACTTAGAATTTTTTTTTTAGAAGGACACACCAAATTTAACAGTGTTAGTAAGATTATGTGAAAATTATTTTTTAATTCTTTTTATTGGAGTTTAATTTGCCAACATATATATAGCATAATACCCAGTGCTCATCCCGACAAGTGTCCCCCTCAGTGCCCACCACCCAATCACCCCAACCACTTCACCCACCTCCCTTTCCACCACCCCTTGTTCGTTTCCCAGAGTTAGGAGTCTCTCATGTTTGTCACCCTCACTGATATTCTCACTCGTTTTCTTTGAGGCACCTCCACACAGTTTTCCAGAGTGGCTGCAGCAGTTCAGATTATGTGAAAATTAAAGGAGAGATTGTGTTTTCCAAAATTTTCAGCATAGGCATAGGAAGAAAAAATTAACAGAACTCCATTGTCTCTCTGTGAACTAATAGACACCATCTAACCACTGACAAGACTGACCAATCTGTGCAGGACTCAAAGCCAGCTGAGCTTGCTTTGTCATTATCAGTGTAAACATAGAGTTTGAGCTTTAGCCTGTGTCTTCACTATTAAGAAAAGTCTCCCATCTTCCCACCTTTGGGGAAAAGTTTTATAGATATTTCAAAAAGCTACTGACAAAACAGAAACATGGGTCCTTGTAGAATTGTAGATTACTTCCGAATTACATGTCTCAAAACTGAGAACACTTCAAATAATGGCAAATGGTTTTATTGGACCTTTTAGATTACAACTTGTATCGCGTGGCAGCTCATGAATTGGGTCATTCTCTTGGACTTTCTCATTCTACTGATATTGGGGCTCTGATGTACCCTAACTACATGTATAGTGGCAATGTCCAGCTATCTCAGGACGACATCAATGGCATTCAGGCCATATATGGTGAGTGTATAGAAAATTATAGACAAGGGGCCATTAAAACAGCTGTTAGCTGTCTCCTTTAAGAAGCTGTCTAATACTGGGCAGAACTAACTCCAGATCTCTTTTTCCTTCAGGACCTTCCCCAAATCCTGTCCAGCCAACAGGCCCCCAAACCCCACAAGTGTGTGATAGAAAGCTAACTTTTGATGCTATCACTACAATTCGGGGAGAAGTGATGTTCCTTAAAGACAGGTAGGACATCAGTTCCTCTTTGTCTTGTGTTTGTAATAATGACGGTACTCACAACTGTGGGTGCCTATGGGCCACTACTGTGCACACACATTAATTATCTTACCCTGTTTGCATACATAATTATGATTATAATTAAATGAAAGCAATTGCGAGCATTTGCACAATGTGATGAACTTGTAATAGCTTTTCCCTTACATGTCTTCTGTTGTTTGGTTCTCAGAAAAAAATACCATTGAAATAGAAAATTCAATAAATAGAATCCCATTTTACAGATCAGTAAAGTAAGACAGAGAGAAGGAAAGAGATCCTTTCAGGGCACAGAGTTCTCTGGTGACAGAGTAGTAACTGATCTTCTGATGCCTGCTCCTCAGTTCTCTCATTAATGATGAAATAAGAATGGAGGAATGTTACTACCTCATTAGGAGAAACCAGTCCTTTTTGCAGCACCATGATGCTGAGCAGGGCTGTGTAGCCACTCTGTAAATATCACCCTTCTATCCTAGTAAAGATGCCTCCCACCCAAAGCCTGTGATCTGCAGAGACCTAGGGAAGGAAAGGAGCCATCATGGGGAAAATTCTCAAGAGTTCATGAGGACCCTCCTGTGAGCACATGTGCGTGGTCACCACATGCTTCTTTTCTCACAGGGAGGTCCTGGAGCCCAGGCAAGACACAGGCCTACTCTCTGTATCGTCCTGATTCCCAAAGCACCATGCAAAATAATACTAGAGTAATTTTCTGAATGATGCCATTCACAGAAAGATCAGCACTGAGGGAGGGCCAGGGCATCAGTACGTAGATAGTAGGGGTGCCCTGATGGGCTCACTTCTCAGCCCCTATTCCCGGAGTCTTGTCTGTGCTGTTTCACCAATCTGTCAGTAGTCATGTCCACCCTATAATGGAGAGTATTGGTCAAAATGCTTTCCATTCTCTTTTTTTACTGAAGAAAAGGCTGGGTGCAAACCATATAGGATATGGCTCAAAGCTGGGGAGAGCTAAGGAAATAGTTGGTTTTAAAGGAGAGTTCTCAATATGACAGGACACACCTATCAAAGCAAGTGTTTGAGGGATTTCTTCAAGAACAGGAGCAAGTCTAGGATTTGGAAGAACTGAAAGGACACTGAGATCATTTCAGCATGACCAAGTCATAACACTGTGGGAGGCTGGAGACAGTAGCAAACTTGCCCGGGGTCTCACAGTCAGCAGAGGCAGGACTGGACCTGTCAGGCAGGCTTCCAGATTCCAGGGCCATCATCTTCCCTGTGGACTGTAGAACCAGCACTGTAAACCACCAATTGAAGGAGGACAAAGGGAGTGGCTGCCAGCTCTGAGTTTAAAATTAACCTTTGCGTCTTATCAGACTTGTGGCCTTAGACACCTCCCTTCACCTGCCTGACTTCAATCTCTAGTGAAATGTGAGATGAGAGTAACAGGCTCTTCTAGGGTTTCTGTAAGATGTGATGTAAGGAGAGAGCCAGCTGCCCTAGGTGTACAGTCAGTGCTGGAGAGCAGTGTTGGGTTCTGGCCGCTGGTGGTATGTCACTGGTTCCTAATGGCTCCACCAAAGCCAATGGTTAGATTGTGAAAATTTGTGCAAGATGATTGTTAAATGTGGTTATTATTCAAAGTTAAACTTAAATTGTATTAATCCCAAAGCCACTAAAGAGAAGCAAAACTGATCCCTTTGTAATTATTTTGACTATGTTCTTGAGGTCGACTGGGCCTGCTGTGTTTGTATGGCAGCAGCAGTTATCACACATTGGCACGCTCCTGGGAACCTCCTGAACTCTGCCCTGGGGTTGTCACAGTGGAAGTGAGCAATCACTACCTACCAGGCCATCCTCACCTCATCCCAGTCCCACCCCTATCCCCCATGTCCCGGAGAGCCAGGACACCACTGGGCTGGATGTCAGCCCCCCTGGTATCCAGTAGATCAAAATCTTTTTCACTTTTTTCAAATCAGGTTCTACATGCGCATAAATCCCTTCTATCCGGAAGTTGAGCTTAATTTCATTTCTGTTTTCTGGCCAAACCTGCCAAACGGACTTCAGGCTGCTTATGAAGTCTCTGAGAGAGATGAAGTCCGGTTTTTCAAAGGTAACACTTCCAACTATTGTTCAGTTTCTGCGAATTAATCTTTCGTCTGTTCTGGTGCTGAGATATAAGAGAGTTATGGTCGCTTTCTCCCTGTGGACTTCTGAAAATCTGACAATCTCGCTTATCACACCAATGGCAGTCCATCCATCACCTTAACTAAGAATTACATAGTGCATTTCTGAGTCATTTTAAATAAAAAGTCTGTTTATCAGTGTTCTGCTGGTCAAGGAACCTGGACTTATTAAAATGTTTTCTGTGCAAACAATTATGTACCCACCCTGGGGATGGTCAGGAATAAAAGGGAGAGCCTGAGGCCCATAATATAGAAAGGATGGTGCAAAAACAAGGAAGTGTCCAGATTTCCTAGAGCCTATTTTAATACAAATGAGTATTTGTACTCATTTGGGAGGGAGAGGCTACCCTGGGCAGCTGGTTGTCAAAGTACGGTCCCTGGACTGGCAGTGTTGACATCCCCTGGGGAGTCTGTTAGAAACACAGACTCTCACTTAAAATGACTCCTCAAAGTCCATCCACATGGTCAGCTTCCACTTTAGACCTTCTGGAACTCTAACAAGATTCTTAAGCAATTTGTATGTACATTAAAGTATGACAAGTCTTACCATGAATTGAATGGGACAAACATCTTTGACTCTATCATAACAAAATATAATCCAATGATGGGGCTCTTCTCTTTGAAGACACTATGCCAAATACCAATATTTCTGCAAATAGGTGTTTGGCATAGTACACATAAGCATTAAAGTACTTGACCCTGCCAAAGGATTGAATGTGGTTCAGATGGGCAAAAAACTTTGAAACAGGCTTTCTGATCCTTAAATCACAAAATTAAATAGGATTTTAGAGGCACGAAGTTTCAAACTGCTTTTTTATAAGGGTCAAATGAGTGTATTTGTGCCATGAGAATAATCCTGGCTTCAAGGTCTAAGACTTTGTTTTACATGATGTGTTTCACATGATGTGGGATTTACTAAGTATCAATACACAGATCTGAACACAGCATAAATTAGTTATTTGGCACTGTATTCTAGTCCGATGCCATGTTTTTTATCTACAGAAGTTGCAAGTCATTACATATTCTGAATCATTACAACACTCTGGGCTTTGGGAAACCTTTGGCATGAACTTACACAGCCCTTGGGCAACTGGGGGAGTGAGCCCTGTATCACTGAGTGGCACGATGAACTCTTTAGTCATTTGAATATCTGGCTTTGGAAAAAAGCCCTTAACCCCACAAGCCAGTCACTCGCCAAGCTCACTGCAGATTAGAATTATGAAGGAAGCTTTAAAATATGTACTAATTTCATTGATCTGGGATATGATATTTAAAGGTCTCCTAGATGTTTCTACTGTGCAGACACAGATCTAGCATGAGTCAAGGAACTTGGCTGAAGATCAGATGTCTTCTGGTGCCCCGGACAAATATTTTAAACCTTGTCTTTTGATTGGCAGGTGATAAGTACTGGGTTGTTCAGGGTCAGGATGTGCTATACGGATACCCCAAGGACATCCACAGATCCTTTGGCTTCCCTAGAACTGTGAAGAGCATTGATGCTGCTGTTTCTGACGAAAATACTGGGAAAACATATTTCTTTGTTGCTAACAAGTACTGGAGGTAAAGACTGAATACAAAAGATGTTAGTGCACCATCTCTTTCTACCTAGAGAGAACATTCTAGATTGAACCCTTCCCAAATGCACTTCATACTGCCTTGGCTAGCTGCCATTTCCGTGAATGGCTGTAGTCATTCTAGCATCTAAGTCCATCGTTCGGTGATCATCATGCAACACATGTGCTGCGAATCCAGGAAACACATGCAGCTGAATTTGGGAAAGGACACCTAAGGAGGAAGGCACTTACCTTTACAGAGCCCCCTCTGCCAATAGGAACATATCTTTCACTGTAGTTTACAATGTGTGGCACCTCCTGAACAATTAGAATTAGTTGTTGGTGTTGAGAGGGACCTTAAAAATTTCCTAATACCCAACTTCCTACCTCAGCCCCACCTTGCTACACCAGACCTATGGAGTTAAAAGTTCTTATAAGAGTTCTACTGCCAAATCTTATGTAATGACCTTGAGAAGTCTACACATTTAACACCTTCTGACACTTCCAATTATTTTTTTGACCAGGTATGATGAATATAAGCAATCCATGGATGCAGGTTATCCCCAGATGATAGCAACTGACTTTCCTGGTATTGGCCATAAAGTTGATGCTGTTTTCCAGAAAGATGGTAAGTGATTATACATATATATTTCCTCTATTTTGTTGTCATAGAATAGCATTAGTATTGTAATTTGGAGCAGCAAATGCCAAAAATATTTCTTCTCAGAAATGACAGGGTTTTTTAAGAATTCAAGTTAAACCCAGAAATCATTTGTAAAATGTAGTAAGCATCTTTTGTTTACTTCTAGGATTTTTCTACTTCTTTCATGGAAAAAGGCAATACAAATTTGATCTTCAAACTAAGAGAATTCTGAGTCTTGACAAAGCTAATAGCTGGTTCAACTGCTGAAGGAATTGACCAACAATGTTACAACAGAAAATATATTTCAAGATCCCATGGACAGTGTCTTCCTGAAGAACCATTTGTTTAAATGAAATACAGAGCTATTATGTATAATAGTATTTATACCTCATTCTGCACTTATTTTTTATGCTTGAGAATGCAAAGTGTTGCATACTGCTATAATTTAGTTCCACAGTTGAGAGCTAAGAAAGGTCAGGCTCATGGCTTATAGGTTCAAATGGGCCAGTTTAGCAGAGAAAAAAAGCTTTTCCAAAGTATAAGACTGTGACATTGATCATGAAATGCAGCTCTTCAAGAGAGGAGCCCAGAGATATAAGTCTTAACCAGAAAAAGACAGTTCATGAGCATATGAGCAGCCACTAGACCATCCTAATATACGAGGAACAATTTTTGTTACAGAAAATAAAGTATTGTGAGTTTGGAATAAAGCCATCCATGTCTCTACTGTTTTATAAACTTTCTGGTATATTTATTACATTATTATCTCCTGATGATAAAGCCATACTTACTGAGATTTGCAAATTTGAAATGGGAATAGACAAATACACAAAATATTCACATGGGAAGCTAGGATATACAATAGGTTGGGATATTCCCCAATTTTCATGGAATTTACATTATGAAAAAGAGGTTAAAACTTATTTCCTATGTCCCATGTAAAGATTCCAAAATTGGTTTTAGCTAAAAACAATGGCAGCTGAGTAGAGTTTTTGAAGGTGACATCTTGCCCTCTCCCTTATGAGCTGGGGGGCTCTGCCTTCCCAAGGTCCCACTGCTTGCCATTGTAGAGGAGGGGTGGGTGGCAGCATCTAACTAGTCCTAGCCAGTGCATGGTGCCCAAAAGAGACCCATATCACCTCCAGATGGAAACATGTGATTGATGGTACAAATTTCTCCAGTGGTCCCCTTTGCTGTGGTGATCATGGAAGACAGCTGGAACTTCCACAAGTTGGAAGAAGCCAGAATTCTCAAGCTACCACTCCAAACAATTACTCCAAACCTCAGTAGATTTTGCTTAAGAAATAAAATTTGATTGTTCTAAGCCACTAAGATTCTAGATTTTGTTAAGGCAACAAAATCTAGTTTTTCTTCATCGAGGTTTCCATGCCTCCTTTCGTAGGATGTTATGTGAGTAGGAGGCCTGCAGGTAGTATCTGAGCCCCACAAGGAGGAGCTTGTGGGTGTTCATGGTGTTGGCAGACTCTCCAAGTATGTTGAGAGTCTTAAAAAATATTTTGAGGTACTCATGGTTCCGGGGCAGGCAGTTCTCAACTCAAGAATCTGGAAAGAAGTGTAACCTCTCCTTTGCCAAGTCCCTCCCTTTCTCATAAACATTTTGATATTGATATTGAAGTATATACCACATAAATACAGAGAAATGTGCAAGTTGTAAGTATTCCTATCAATGAGTTATGACAAAGTTAACAATCCCATGTGACTCTCATCCCGGGTCAAGAAATAGAACATTACCGGGGACACAGTAGGCCCCCTCAAGGTCCCCAGTTACCGCTCAACACTGTGTCAGCTTAGTTCACCACAACCAGAGCCTAAAATAGGAATGCTTCACTGGGGCCCCTGGGGGAGGGCTGTTCTCAGTAGAAGAGTGGGAAGAACACTATGGAGCAGAGAAACAGCTATAGAATGAGGTCTTAGATCACTCCAATCTCATGGGCAAGGGGTCTGGAGCAAAACTTGAATCATGGTCTCACCTTGAGGCAAAGGGACCAGGCTTTTTAGCCCAGTGTCAGTCAGTCCTCAGTTGAGGACTGGTTTGGGGGAGTGGCATAGCTTCCAGGCAAAATGGCTCCTGTTTGGCAAAGAAATGGGAAAACTGGGAACAGCAAGCACCTCAGACCCTCAAAGTAGCCAGGGGATGGGCGCCGTGGTGCTGATGTGGGTTTGGAGATACGACCAGCCACATCCATTATACATTCTCTATTTCCCAGAGGCAGCCACCATGCTGACTTTAGACTCTGAGATGAAATTTGCCATTTTTGAACTAAACTAGATCAAGTATATTCTCCTGTATCTCCTGTGTATTCTCCTTGCTGCATTCAACATCATGTTTCTGCACTTCATTCGCTGGTAACAAACTTTGATTTGTTACCATCTGGGGGTTTTATAAACAAGGCTGCACTTATGTAGGCACTTCTGTTGATTATATACCTAAGGGCACACTTGCCGAGCCATAGAGCTTCTCAGTGCACAAAATCTCTGCAGGTCTTCCCTTGGCCTCCTGTCTTTCCAGCCATAGCAGCAGTGACCAGTTCTGCCCAGGTTTTAAACCAGCTTCTAGACTTGCGGCTGCTCTCATCATCGGGCCCATGCTTTCTGCTCCAGGGCTCACGTGCCTTTTCTGTTGATGCTGCATCCAGCTCTGCTATGGAATTCACTTAGAACTCATGCATAAGCAACCTGCAAGTGAGAAGAGTGGTCACTTGCGGGGCAACCATTTTACCAATGTAAAAGACACAGATGAATGAATGTATCCCCCTCTCTTTCTTCAGAGAGATGTTCGTAAGGTGTATTTCAAGTGGGTCCTCCAACGGTCCCATTCTGAGCAAGATGTTTTTTTATCTCTGCCTGGCTGGCAATCCATCTTTGCATTGCCTCTCCCACTTTCCTGTTTTTCTCTCCCCAACCATCAATCCAGCCTTTCTCTCTGGATCACATACCTCAGTAGGTACTTACCCTTAAAATTTTGTCTCAGGCTCTGTTTTCTAAAAATACTGGATTCAGGTAATTTGTTCTGGAAGTGGGATAGAGATGACCCTTGGTATCAGCATGTCATCACAATTACTAAGACTCTTATCTGTGGTTGATTGTGAAGAAATAGAGGTGAGCGATGTGTAACAGGTCATCAGCTGGCCATGACACTTACATGACATGAGAAGAGTGGTGGTTATAGGAAGTATACAGTGGGCTGGTCAACTACACTGGGAATTTGGTAGAAAGAAAGAAATTATTTCAGCTAAGTATCAAGTGAAGACACACTGTGAAAGTCAAAAGGCATTGACATTTAAGGAAATCCTCATCTATTGTAGACTGTGCTGAAAATAAGTCCCAGATCTAATTTCAAAATAGGGCTAGGAAGCTGGAATAATGGGGGAACAAATCTGAAAATACTCAACATCTAAATTTTCTTGAAAGCTCTAGATAGGCAGGAATAGGCTCTCTCTCTGTCAGAGAAAGGCAACATATCCTTGCATAGGGAATCAACAAACCCTTACCCGAGCCAATACCTCAAAAGATAATGCTTGTCCTTCTTCCAATTTGCTTCCTACACTCATTGTTTCCATACAAATAAAGTCAGGTCTCAGGATAGCTCAAATCCTAGCTATGGCAGAAAATTGCTTACAAACCCAAGGAATTGGAAGATACAGTCCTTAAGGATCATCAGGAACCAGGGGGACTACATGTGGGAGTAGACTTAAAAGGCATTGGACCAGGGTGGGGGAATGTAAGGCTGGGCAGGGAAGAATTTATTAACATTTATGTAGGTATTTCTGGTGCACTCATTCTTGACTCATGAGTCCATATTCTGGCAAGGAAACCAGCAGTTGGTTCAATACTTTGCGGACTTGGAGTCTCTAATCTTGGACACGAGGATATCCTACAGTGTTATGCCAAACCTTCAGTAACATCGTATTAGGGAATGATCCAGAAACCACAGAGAGATGGGAATCTTCAAATAGATTTATTACATGAGACTGGAGGACCCATCTCTGGACTCCTCCTGGTCCAGAGGGCACTCCTTCACTGAAGCTGCACAGAACACATTAGTGAGGGGACATACTGGTATCTCAGAGATACACAATGATGTTTGTTCTATGGGTTGGGGGTGACAGAATGAGGTATCTCTTGGACTTGGGCTCTCTAGTGTCATTAGAGATGATGGGATTTCAGGATGGTGTAAAGCAGATGCCACACTTAACCACCAAAAACAAGATAAACAAAAACAACTCTAATTAGTAGAGAGCAAAACAGTACCAGAGGGTCTTCATCTCCACCAATCATGTGTTTCTAGTAGTATGCAGATAAATAGCCAATAGAGGTATTGCTGAACTTCTAGTTCTAAAAATTAAAAATTGCCAATATCAGTTACTATAATAAAAAATCCCTGTTTCTCACTTAATTTTCAAATCTAAAAAGATTTACATCTTCAAGGTCATTAATTGCAGAGGAAGCTAGGTGTCCTTGAAGAAGGATCTTCCTTCATACCTACGCATATCTAAGAAAGACCCTTCTTCAAAGGGGCTATATTAGTTTGCTAGAGCTGCTGTAGGAAATACCACAGATTGTGTGGCTTAAACAACAGAGTTGTTTAGTTTCTCATGATTCTAGAGGCTATAATCCTGAGATCAAGGTATTGACAGGGTTGGGTTCTTCTGCGGTTTCTCCCTTTGGCTTGCAGATGACCATCCTCTCCCTGTGTCTTCCTGTGATCTTTTCTCTGAATGTGCTGGTGTCCTAACTTCCTCTTCTAACATAAACACCAGATATATTTGATTAAGTCCAACTTTATGACCTTGTTTTAGCTCAGTTGACTCTTTAAAGATATTGTGTCCAAACTCAGTCTCATCTTGAGTCATGGGGGACTGTGACTTCAACATATGAATTTTGGAGAAGACAAAATTCAATCTATAAGAGGAAGTTAGCCTGTGTGTGTGTGTGTGTGTGTGTGTGTGTGTGTTAAATTATCCCCACAAAAGGATTTGTATCCATTTACCAAGGTAACTGTGTTCTGGGGAAAGAGAAGTATCCAGATTTTTCAAAAAACAATTGAATACCAGATCTGAATGGACATTGATAAAGAGATCTCAAAATAGCAACTTGATCTTCTAGGTTAGAAAGGAGCCTTATGTTACACCTGAAACTCATATTACACTGTATGTTAACTAACTGGAATTTAAATAAAAACTTTTTTAAAAAAGAAGCCTGATAGAAGTTAGTAATAAATAAAGCTCTGACTCAAGCTCACAGGGGTCCAGTGGGTCCATGGACACATCCTGTGGCTATTTCTTTGGTCAAACTTTCCTCTTGGTTTGTTGACTTGTGGAGTTAGAACCTTATGGTAGGAAGGATCAACTGGAAGCCTCTGAAACTGCTCCTCCCTAAAATATCTGGCAAGATGGTGAATTAGAAACAACAAAAAACCAATACCACATCCTGAAGGATTGCATAGAATGGTAATACCATCAAAGACCTAAAAGTAGCAGGTACCATGGTCTCTATAACAACCCCATAGAGTTTATCATCTGGCCCTTGCTTAAACCAAATGAACCATGGTGGGTGATGGTGGACTTTCATCCCAGCTGGACACATCCCAGCTACTGTGTCAGACATGATTGCTTCACAGGAGCAAATCAATCCAGTTGCAGAATCTCAGCATGGAGTGATTTACGAGGAAGTGTTTGAATATTTCCCTTATTTTCTATGAGCCCAGATGCACTGAA